AAAGGAATCCAGAGAAGTATCATACACATTTTGCTATGAACTTCAAGAAATTCCGTTTTTCTGCAAGGATTGTGTGGTATTTGATTGACCGTGACAGGAATCATTTAGAGAGTTTTCTTCACAACTCCAACAGTAGATTTGTGCAACATGCATGCTATCAACTTCGTGAGTATGTTCAAGCGCGTGTTGCAGTTTCTGATCCCTTGTATGAGATGATCAAGAAGGAAGAGTTTGAACGCCAATACAATTCCAAGTTTTTGGAGGCGATTTCTTGCTCTCGTGTTGTAGTTGAGCCTGTAAGTTCAGGGACGTATGAGCCATCATCGAAGCTGAACTTAAAGGTACTACAAGACATCCTGAAGGGTATCTTCAAGATCCAGAAGGATGAGGAGCTTGCCAAAGAACGTGATGAAGAAGAAGAACAGGCAGCTCAAAACATCTCATACCTGTTGGCAGATGATATGGAGCTTGATTTTGATGATGATGATGTTCCAGTATGGCGCTCCATTGTCGACAAGTATAGAGGAGGTGATCAGGTGCTACAGGGAGAAGCTGTGAAGATTACTCACCTGTTCAGGGATCAAAAGGAAAATGAGAAGGCGACAGAAGCTTGCAGTTCAGAGAGGACAGATTTTTATGAGACCTCAGGACCTCTTCCAAGAACCGAGGGAGAAAATCTTGTAGAGGACTTGCTCACCAAGGATGTTGCAGAACAAGCTTTTGAAGCAGGTGAAGAAGTTACTCCTTATACAAGAGTCTCCACTATCGCTGGTGAAGTTTATACTGGAAGTAGAACACTTCTAGAAGATGAGAATATGGAAGAGGAAGTTCCTGAAGAAGATCCTGCAGTTGAACCTGGAAAAGAAGAAGAAATATTTGATGAGAATGCAGGTGTTTTTCCTTCAGAGGAACCAAAGATGGAAGTGGACCAGGGCACTATCAAGTCCTTGGAGAAACCTTGGTGTGGTGTACTTCTGACCACGAACCATGTTGCCATAGTTCCAGGATAAAAATGTCAAGGACTCTGAGCTGGCCAGTAAGTTAGTTCCATATGGTTCTTCTATTCTTCCCTTGAGGAACCTTCTGCACAGCTCTTCATAGAAGGTGACAAAGTCCCAACTGGGTCCATATGATTCCAGTTCCTTCTTGAGTTCCTTCTTCGTATCCTCCAATTCTTCTCGAGCATGTCCTGCCCTTTCAAGGGCCTTTGGATCGACCTGATACTTGCCATCCAAATAAATGATGCGATCATCATTGATAAAGAATCTCTTCAAATCATGCTCTGGTTCATGTTCATAACAATCAGGTGGAGGTACTGGACAGATATTACGAATGGATCGAACAAAATCATTCTCGTTGATCCTTGACTGATAATGAGGATGGGAAATCTCACCTTTTCTGAAACAAACATGATTCAGCAATCTTGCGTGAGTTTCCCTGAAGCATAGTTGATAAAGGCCAATACCTGGATCTCCTGTAAGCTCTCCAAGCAACTTCAAAGGTGAAGTATGCAACTCATAGGTATTGTCAGCTTTTGTTGTATCCTTTTCAACAACTACTTCAGATGGAAAAGATTCTTGGATTGCGGCCTCCAATTTCTTCTCTCCATCATCCTCTCTGACCTCTTTTATTTTCTCCACCGCCTCTTTCTTCTCTTCCATGGTTGCATCATCCTGAACTTCTTCACGAAAGTGAGGATCAGGAATCTTATTCAGGCGGCTTTTCTTAGATTTCCGCTGACCTGAAGTATCATCAAGGTTAGCATCCATCTCACCTGATGGTAAGTGCGATGCAGTAGAGTCCTCACCTATCTCTCTTGACAGAAAGTGTGGTGTTGACTCTTCCTTGGCTTCCTAATGAGGCCACGCAAACAGAGCGCCATGTCACTTCAGAATGAGCAATTTGAGAACAACCTTTTCTTCAACATGCTCTTCTTTTTACGTGCACATGTCGTGATTCTCCAGGAAGCTCATCTTCTTGTTCCTGCCAAGGAATTTATTGAGCAAAAGAATTGGACAGTTTGTTTCAATGATTGGGAGAATCTTGCAGTGATGGCCAGATTGGCACCAGGTGGATATGTCAAGATCATTGCTGGACATGACCAAGACCTTGGTCACTGTGAACAGCGTGATGTAACTTGGGCTATCTACGAGATTTGTTTTGGAGAAACAAGGCCTCGTCAAGATTTCAAGGATGCAGACTTTGAATTTGATGACTATGGTCCTGAGGACAAGCGTGTTCCACTTACTCGAGCGAACATGCATACCATCAGAGTCTGTAATTATCATGTTGATACACACCGTGCTGTGGATGCCCACCTACTGACAGGAGAACAGACAGCATTGATGCTTTACGAGTGTTTTGTCTATGAGGTGGACATCATTTCTGGTGATGCAAATAGTTTGGCCTACAGAATGTCTGGGTACAAAAGGCAGCCAATGGCTAACTACTATTACAGCACCATGCAGCATTGGATCCGCAGGTTTTCAGAAGCTCGTGTAAAAGCAGATCCTGGTATCAAAGCACCTATTCCCAGAACATTTTACAGTTCAACTTCACAGGTCCTCAAGAAGTGTGAAGTTTACTTTGATAAACTCTGGGAAGAATATTCTACTGTTGAAAAAGAAGAATACCAAGGATCACAGCTTGGCGATACATGTTTTTCTACCATTGTTGAATGGGGTCATTCAATGAGTGAAGAGGAATATGAAAATTCCACAGTGAGCACGAAGGAGTTCATCTGTAATTTTTCAGAGAACTTTGCTATGATTGACACAGAGGTTATGTGCTCAAGGCCCACTGACGAGGACAGTCATGGTCCAATGTTTATTTCACTCAGACCAGCTTCCTTTTCATCTGGAGACAGAAGACAGTATCGCATGGGAGCAACTCTTCATGAGGCGAAACTGCGGAGGAAGGAGAAACAGAAAGAGAATAAAAGGAAAGGAAGGCCGCCAACTTCTGATCAAGCAACTTCATCGTTTGCAGCGGCATAATTCCTGAGCGAAGGCTGAAATTTAAATGATGGCTAGGAAGTGAAGATACTTCTGTTACAGTTGATACTTTGCTTCCAGGCTTGACTTTAAGTTGCCAGGCTGAAGTTTTAATAAGTTCTGGTTTGCAATGAGGAGAAACTTTTTATCAAAGAAGATACTCCTGCATTCCAGGTTTATACGCTTTAGCATGTAGATAGGTATGGACAGTTTTGCATAACTGATGATATCTATCACAGTCGCTTTTCTGAGATGACCTCTAATGGACAACCAGTCATGGTTGATGATTAAGTCATTTCATGATTTGCAATTGTAGTACAAGATTTTTTTTTGTACATACATTTGCCGGTATCTCCTTCTTGTGTTTTTGATGTGAATGTGAACGAGAGTCCTTTTGATGCAGTTTTATTTTGTCTGTGAATGAAAGCGGTCGAGACCACGTCACGAGAAGATTATTCCTCGGACCGTACGCTCCTTGCATTTTGCAAGGCATCTTAATTCATTGCAATTTGTGCGGTCTTGAATTTTTAGTTCTTTGTTGCGCGAGTGTCGTTTGATTCTTTTATAGGTCTCTGTAGAGAAAAAGCCGCTTTCCCTTTTTTAGTTTGATTTAGCTCAGGCCATAAAGAGCTAGTGAGCGCCGGTACATGGTATCTCCGCCTGCGAAAAGTACAGTCTCCAGCCGAGGTACATTATCGCTTTGATTTTGTACTTGAGGTGAGTCAGCTATTGCTCCCTCACTGTATTTAGTAGCTATGAGATTACCTTCTCTGAAGTGTGAAACACACTGGATTAGGTAAGTACATGGCACCGTAGTTTTCTTTTAAGTTGTCAGAGCTAGCTGGACTGTTTTAGCCTTGCAGTAGAAAAAGAGTATGCGACATACGCAATCAGCTAGGAGTGGACATGAATCTTGTGCCTGCTGAAAAGTAGAGCCTACCTGTACAGGGTTCCACTCCAACAGCCGATATAGTGTGTCCATGCTTGACTGGTTCAAGGCTCAAGAGATATAGGATAAGACTCTGCGTGAGTAAAAGACACTAGCGGTCTGCACCTCTACCGTGTACGCCCTAGTCACTCTTTCACCCCCTCCCCTCCCCTCCCCGTCCCCTCCCCTCGTCGCCAGCACTACTAGCATTCTGGACATAAGGAGAAGTCATGCGCTTAACAGTCACAGCAGTACGACGCTGGCCATGAGGTTGCGCAATACAGCACGAACCCTGCGCAATGAGGTCGCGCAATGCGGCTTCGATGCTGCGCGTGCGCACCTGGCAGCCTGACACAGCGCGTACTGCGTTCATAGACCATATTGCTCGACACCAACGAGCATCGATGCAACACAGCCTCTCTGCAAAGCCCTGTGGAGAAACCCCTCGCGTCGCGGAACACCATTCGACTCAGCCTTATACCCTAGCGTGGCGAAATCTTACCGCATCGTGGAGCACACCCACCATAGCGTGACGTCCATCCCTGGCAGTACCGGCCGCACCCCTCCAGCACTATCCTTACAAGGGGGTTGGTCACTGAGTCACTGCGGCTTCGACGCAACGCGTGCAGGCCTGTAATCCTGACACAGTGCGTGCAGCTGTGGGACCATAGCTGGTACACATGCGAGCGTTTACGCATTGCGACTTTTACGCGCGCCTGTTTTCACACACCTAGACACAAACGAGCGTCGACGCAACGCAGCCTCTCTGCAGAGCCGTGTGGCGCAATCTGACCGCAACGGTGTTCCTCTTGAGCCTTCTTATGCCTTCTTGTGCTCTCTGGCTTTGTTGTTTTCATCCATGATTGACCAAAGGGCACGTTCCTGAAACACCGGAGACAGTCCCTCACCAGAAAAGGTCCCGACAGCTACCCGGTCCGTCTCTACCTTTCGTGTTTCCCCGCTCAAGTGTTCTCATGCTTAGCCGCTTAGCCGCTTAGCCATAGCCTACCCCCAAAAACCTCTCATCCCTCGCCTTCTCCGATTCTCCCTCCCTCCGCTTCTCCCGCCACGCTTCGAAGGCCATCCGCCCATGGTGACCGGTCACACGCCAGGCGAGTGCGGTTTGAGGGAGCTGCGCGTCGGTCCGGTGTGGGAGGAATGCTTTCTGAAGTGGTCTATTGAACTGCCGCTGGCGTGTGCGGCCCACGGGAATGTTGGAAAGCTTTGGAAAGCGAAGTGGTCTATTTTAGACCTTTTTGGACTACAGGTACCCGGCAGGAACCTGTCCTAGCCTTCACCGTCTTGGAAGGCTAAGGGTACCGCCTACGCCTACGCACGTCCGCACCCGTGACCGCTTTTTTCAGCCCCAAAAATGAGCATTCCAAAGGACGCTCCCCCAAGACCCTTCTTGGATGAAAAAACCTCAGGACTCATAAGAACTTAATGAAAAAGACCTGGAGTCTCATAAGACCTTAGACATCCTTAGACTGTGGGACGGTCTTGGACCATCACCTTTGACTCCCTCAAGATTTCACTGACATCATGCGCAAGGCGGATTTTGGTACCTGCCATCGGTCGAACCTGAAGGGATCTGCTCCCACCTGGAGATCCTCATGGTCCACCTTTTCTGGGGTCGGCTCTCTTTTTTGCCCCTCGTCTCCACCAGGCATGAAGCTACAGCCAGGTTTGACCCCGCCGGGGCGCTGAGACGCGGCTTCTGCGTGCCGCCCCGCGCCCCGCGCCGCGCGGGGCGTTGGTGAAAACTGCACGGTGAGACCGGTGAGACCAGGTGACGTCACCGACCGTGACCAGACCCGGTCAGGCTGGGTCTCCGGATGATGCATGCATTGGTCCGGCTGGGTGGCAAGTGGACATCCTCGCGGTTTCAACAGCGGCATGATGACCTGCAAGATGATCCCATTCCTGCATCGCCTTAGCACCTTTCTCTTTGCTTCGACTTGCAAAGCCAAAGCCGGTGGACTGGACCTCTGCTGGCAGCTGGTGACTTGGGGAAGTCTTGGTCTGGTGAAACGACCCCGAATCCTGACCTGGTTTTGAGGGAACCCCATTGAAGCCGTTCGAACGGTTTCATTCGAACCCAGTGCAGATCCCCCCCACACTAGCTTGGCACGTGTTCGTCGCCACGTGTTCGTTGGCTCTCGTGCTGTTTTTTCGAGCGTAGAAACCCTGATCATCACGTGATCTGGGAAATCAGTGCTATCTCAACTGTCATACGCTGAAGGCATCAGATGATTCGGAGGCCTCCCAAAAGTCCCTGAAGCCTACGATTCATTTGATTCATCCCTGGACCCTCCAGTTCGTACCTTAGAATGGGACATGACCCGAAGTCAAACAGGTACGACTGTACCCATTTTCTGAAGTACGAGTTCCGGGTCGACTCCAGGTCCGCCATGGTCTGACTCATCCAGCCTGGTCTGCTTCTCACGGGGACTCCCCCTCAATCTGACTCACGGTGACCACGGGACCACGGTGGACTCACTGAGATGTACCCGCAGGTAGGGTGGGGTATTGGTTTGTTTGGGCCGTTTTCGGTGAATCCGAGGGCCAGGCCGGGGACTTACCGGGTGTGACCTGCAGCCGGTAGGTCCGGGCGTGCAAGTGAACCATCACCATCCACTGGGCCCTGGTCATAGACCCAAGGTATACCCTTTCCCTCAAGGAGTTCTGACCCAGGTCTCATGACACCACCGACCGAGACCGAGACCGACCGCTAAAGCTCCAGGTTTGGACTCAGGAACGGAACTGACCTCATGAAATAGAATGTTTAGCCACGTGCATGTTTCCACTGTCAAATGCGAGGGGAATGTTCAAGGTGATCAATGCTTACACCACTCAAGGAACGATATCAAGGACCAGGTTTGGAGCGGGTCAGACTGGACTTGCAGGGATACGACGATGAAAACAATCATTTAAACATATAGTTAAACAAATCTCATTGCTTGAAGCGGAGGACTCTTCCATTCGGGTTATCCTTACTCGCCCTCAGAGTGGGACTATCCCAATCTATCCAAGTAGCTCGGTCACAGGTAGTGAAATCGCTGCCAGCCAAGCAAGGCTGAGAGACCTGAACTGGGACCCTGTAGTAGTACAATGTAGCTCATGTGGCATAGGCCATAGGGCTGTTCAACCTCTTCAGGAGGCAACCACCGCACCGCCGCGCATCAGCTCCGGGGATGGCACCGCAGAAGGCTCCGGGGGTTCACGAAGCTCTGACGCCGGGGGTAGGAATGGCCAGCTGCCCAAGCTTTTTCCCCAGTGCCCAACCCTGAATTCATGTCGTATACTATACTACAAGTTGTACAAGCATAAGTTGATGTTTCCATTTTCCCATGTTTCGCACTTGTAAAGGGACCTTGCCCTCGCCCAGCCACGTGGCTCCTGAAACCCGTTGCCCTCGTCCGGCATCGAGGTCCCCGAACATGTTCTTGGCCAACTCCATTCTACCGCCGACCTAGGCGAAGGCGCGGTGTTTTGGCGGCTTTGGTCATGGACCAGTCTACCCAATGGTGCGGGGGAGGTTCTGTACTAACACACAAGCCATGTGTTTTTTTTTTGCCAAGAGGCAAGCTCGAGTCCAAAAAGTCGCAGGGCCCCGCCAGGTCCTACTAGTTGCTTCGGAATGGCAAGTGGTGGATTCGGAAAAAGAAGCCTCTCCTCTCTGCATCTGGGTCGGTCCCATGGTCGCCCAAAGATTTGGTGCTTCACATGACCTCATGTTGACGCACGGTAAGTGAAGTCTGTGTTGAATCAGCCCGTTGACCTGCTAAGTGTTGGGCCCATCCAAGCTTGGTGGCTTGGTGGCTTCGTGGCTTGGTGTGTGTGGGAACATCGGGTCTTCCTATGTCAAAGTGAGCGGCGCCTGATGTACCTACACCCGTTCTGCATGGCACCAAGCACGGGGCACTTTGAAAGTACCATTCTGTACAATCATCCTCAAGGGGTGTCCTGTTTGGAGATCCTGGATAGTAGTGGGCTGGCGCTCCCAGCCAGCTGATCCCGGTGCTGGTAGAGTCTTTCCATAATTCATCGCCCCTCCAAATTGAACCATCCTTCTTTCAAAGGAACAACCTCCGAACCTGTAGACAAGACACACAGCCTGCCTCTTCCGACGTTCTGGAAATCGTGACCATGCGGTTGGACGGGGCCTCTGGTTTGATTTTCTACTTTTTTCCGCCATCGCGGAAAAAAGTAATGGACTGTTTTTTTTGTACCCGGTAGTTCTTTTTTTTTGGATCTGTTTCCGGGGTACAGGGTTTCAAATAGTACCATGGGATGTTTTTTGTTCAGAGTTGTTTGCGGGGTATAGGGTTTCAATTGGCACTGCTTCCGGGGTACAAGGTTTCAAACAGTACCGTTTGGTTGGGCAGGGCCCCTGCGGCAAAACTTCCACTTGCGGCCTGTGCGCCCCTATGGCAAGTCTATCCACTTGCGGCGTGGAAAGGCTATTTGGGCACCTCTGTGTTGTTTCTTTTTGACCTGTTCGGGTGCCAGGGCTGTTTGGGCGGCGGGCTTGCTAAAAGCCATGACAGGGCTGTTTGGGTACCTGTGTAGGGT